ATAAATCTTTTAAATAATCAATTCGTTGATTGTAACTGTGTTTAACAATAAAAAAAAAAGCTTATCGTAATTGAAGTATAAGTAAAGTTAAAACTAATAAAAATTATAACGAAAATGTTAATAATAGCAAATTTTCTCTTGCAATCTCTCTTGCATATTCGAAGAAATTTTGTTGAAAAGCAATTTATGTTTACATGAAATTTGAATGTCACACAGTGCATCTGTCCTCCTTTCCTCCTCCTTTTCCGCCCATTCATGTTTGCCTTATCTGTCGCTATAAGTGGCGCTATGAGCAAAAATGTCAACAGTTTTAGTTTGGATGATTAATTTAGTGGGATCATCAAATTTCGCCACTTTATTTCTGTATTCCATACATAAAATTTATTCTTTCCAATTGAAAATATCAAATTAATTTCCAAAGTTTCAACTAATTACAAGTGATACATATCATTTTGTTAGTATGCCTCAGACAATACTTTCCAACAAAAATTATCCCATTTTGACTAATTTCCTTAATATTTCCTTTTGCTTACTTACCGGTAAAAAGTATACCTATAAACTTGCTTAAAACAAACTTAGATTGAAAGGCTTTCTTTTTTTTCTAAATCAATAAATATCACTTTTTTTTTAAAAAAAAATTCGTTAATATCTTATTTCTTCAAATTTGGAAAGTTGGAAATTATTGCTGGCTCCATATGGTGCTCCAATCACTCTAAATTTTAAATTTAAAATTTTCTTTGCTCTAAATATTGTGAATTTCAAAAGTACAAAGAACTGAAAATAATGTAAAATTTACTTTAACCAATTAAAGTTGGTCGACCAACATTAATCTTTTTCCATTTAAGCAAACTGAAATATTGTATTAAAAAAAAACGATTACATAGGTAGAGATGTAAATAATGAATCATTTAAAAATGTTCCAAAAGTCTCGAAAAAAATTGAAATATAGTCTTTGTAGCATTAAGCAAAAAAACTACAGTAGACCTACAGTAGGCAGAAAATTTCATAATTTATAATTTATTTTTTTTCAATTACATTCAATTGTTTCATTAAAAAATTCGAAGTAAATAAAATATAAAATGCTCAATTATCATCCCTTTTTAACTGGTAACACAATAAACGGATCTAAAATATATGTTTATCAAATAAAAAAAACTTATTTTTCAAATTCAAATTTTTGTTTCCTAATTATCAAAATTTCTTTGCATAATAGATTCTATCTATAACATATAGCTTCTTTTAATATCCAATATCTTCGTAATTAATGATAATTAATTATGTACGCATATTTTTAATTAAATTGCTTACATTTTTTGTTTCACACAAATTTCATTTAATTTCTAAAATAGAAAAAAAATGTAAAAATTTTCATATTCAATCACTATTGCCATGCAGTTTTATTATCGTTTCAATTTATGGGTGCAGCAAATCAACAAATCATTCGATTTTTTTTTTAAACCTTAAAAAACTTTTTTCAAAATTTTTTTGCTGTTGTTTAGTCACCTGCACTGATTCATACACATATGTATCACCGTTTCTTCTTAACATTTTTTTAACTCAAACAGATCGATTCGATCTATAAAGTAACTTGTGATAGTTTATAAACTTTCCTAAGGATCCTATTTTTCACAAATATTTAAACTTGCAAAATCGATTTTAACAATTAAAATAGAAGAATGATGGAGGAGTTTTAAATTGGAAAATCTGTTAATTCAACTTACATTTCAATATCATTTAACAAATTTTTGCGGGGAAATTACAGCAAAAAATTTGAGAATTTTGTGGCTATTGTATAAAATGTTTTTCTAAATTTGAACTTATTCATTCATCTGATAATGCAAAAATATCCCAAAATGAAATTATTTAGCTGTAAAACAGGATTTCTTTAGTTGATTTACAAATGTGAGAGATCATTTTGTTCATTCATTCATTAATATTTTTCTATAATTCTCGAAAAAAAAGGGACAAAAATGGAAGAAAACAGGTTGTTTAAACAAATTTTTTCATTTCGTCACATATTTATATGCACATATATATTATCTTATATATTCCTTCAAATTTTTAATCATTTATTATAGCAAAAAAAAAGAAATTAACGAAAACCTTAGAGAGGAAATTAAAAAATTCTTCGTTTTTCGAAAATATTTAGTTTTTTGTTTGAAATTTTTATTAATTTTTTTCTGCTGTCACTCTTTTTCTAGTATTTATTATGGAAAGCTTTGAAGGATTCCCTTCTCTTCGATTCCTCCTTACATTAATTTTAATTGCATTTTTTTTACTTTGTTGGAAAAAAATTTTTAATTTTATCCATTTCTTTTTTTCTCGCAATTTCTTGAGGTGGAAACTTTGAAATTTTAATTTGTAATTACCTTCAGAAATAAGAAGCTTTCTGAAGCGGAATGGACAAAAAATTAACACTAATTGGTGAATTAATTAACGAAATCAAGAAATCACGGAATGATTCGTATTGTTTACAAAATGAGCAACTTTTCCAAGCGAATATTCTGGCTGATGATATCATCCAGGTGAGAAGGAAAAGTTTGCGATAATTTGGATGAAAAGCTGGTTAGACTGTGTTAGTTATGTTAACTGAGCTTGCCAATTTTCGTTTTTGTGTTTTCAGAAGTTAATTAATTTACGCAACTTATACAGTAATATTCCCCTGACTACTACAAAAAATGTATATTATGATACGGTATTGATGAACAGTAATATGCGACAATGTTTACCTCATCATGGTAATATTCACAGTTGGTTTAACTTTGAAAACATTTTGAAAAGCAAATTAAAAAGGCAGAATTAATCAAATTGTGCTAAATATTTTTCATTAATTTCAAAAATTTACGACTTCCATCAAGTATTTAGCTTAAATTGTAATGGCTTTACTTTTGCTACATAAAAAGCATTTCCGGAATTCGATAAGAACAGCTTCTTTCTATCTTGGTTAATTAATTAGAAAAGTTTAACAAAAGTTAAATTACAATTTATGAGATGATTTTCCAACGATTTCCACGAAAATATTAAAATTTACTGAAATTTAAAATAACTTGACATTGACCATATGTCAAACAAAATTTAGAGCTAAATTTGTAGGACAAATTTTGAGTTAGCTATATACCGTACAAATATGGGATTAGCTAAAAATTTAGGTTTACTATGTATATGTGCACCATGAAAAGTTCCAAATAGCTAGCTATACAGATATGAATATGGTATATGTGCAAACCATACACAGTTACTGTATAAAATACAAAAATCTCTTTTCAGCCGCGCAAATAGTAAATATAAAAACGGAAACAACACTGAATAATGATGATGCAAATTTAATAGAAATAGCGCATCATGCATTCAACAATGAAAATTATGCAAAATGTGTTCGAACAATTGAAAAGATTGCAACATTGCAAAAAAGCAAATTAAATCCGTAAGTTCCACAAATTCAAAATTTTTTGTACTTAAGTTTTTTCTGAAAAATACATTTCTAAAGTATGGTTATGTTTATTCCTAATTATGATTAGTAGTGATAGTGATAATGTGGCATAGTGATTTCTTCATTTTGGCATGATATTTAATCCATTCAAAAAGTTTAGCAAATGGGCTAAACCTTTTTAACACTCATAAATATAGAGCCAAAATTTCTCCAATCACCGCAAATCATCTCCAGACCCTGAAGATGGAATGAAGGGAGTGGGAAAGTACCGGTCACTTCATTATTTTCGTTTGGTTTCAGAATTGTTTGCGACACCATAAATGTCTCTTTTTGATATGCAATGAATAGTTATTTTATTCCAATAAAACTTTTAGGACTTCATAAAATTTAATTTCCTTTTACCGATTCTTAGATTTCATTTAATGCATTTATCTCTTCTATAGATCCCATCAAAATTCTTCTTTTTTTTTAAACAATACCAAAGAGATGCAATCATTTCGAATAATTATTTCTTACAGAATTCTCATGGACTTATGTCATAAATCATATAAAAAAGTTATCCAAAGTGCGGCGACAAATACTGATCGGTTAAAATTATGTGAATGGTGGAGGTTATTTGTTGGTAATTTTCAATTTATTCATTTATTTTCTGCTTTGTTTTCTAATTTTACACGAGTAAACACAAAGATTAGTGTAATTAAATTAAATTTAATTGAGAAAAATTAGATTAGTGTAATTAAATTAAATTCATAATTAAATTATAATGGTTGGATATTAATAATAAATTGGCAGTTAAATTATAACAAACTGCTATCATTTAATAATAATCTATTTAGACGATAACTGCATATAAAAAATTCGAAACATTAGCAAAGTTAATTAAGTATTTCGATCATAAAATAATTCTCGGTTTTTTTCCTTCTCTTTCTCTCTTTCTCTCTCTCCCTCTTCCCTTCTTCTTTTCTCCACCTAGAAAAGGAATTAACAATCATCCTTCGATGATGATAAAATATTTTAATGATAACGATTTCAGGGAACATTTAAATTGAATTCCCGAAAAGGGATTTAGAAAATGCATACATATAATTTTTTTCCTTCAAAACATGAAAAAAAATTGAAAACTGCAAAATAAATTAGGATTTAAAAACTTGAAAAGGATCGGTACTACGATTAAAAACTGAAATCCTGAAAATGAGCAAACCTGAAATCCAGAAAGGATGATCTGAGGATGGGAAATGAAGAATGCTAGGACTTATGACAAAAAAGGAAGAGCAAGGACGAAGAATGGATGTGTAAAAACATTCCATTTTACTTCATTGTCATTCAAAACCAAAATATGAAGCGAAATGGGTTGACATGTAAGCTCTATGAGAGGAATAAAAATGAATGGAGCAGTGAACAGAATCAGATTCAATCGCTGATCGAATCAAAATAAGAATGATCGATTGAAACAATGAAACTGAAGAACTGATTCCTTTTTAAAAGAAAAAAAAAAGACATCAAACAAATAGAGAAAAAAGCGAATAGTATTAAAAAGAAGAAATATGGAAAGGAAAGTTTGAAATTACAGAAACTACAACATTGGATGATTCATCAAATGAAGCATTACTTTGTCAAATCGATTGGCGCAGTGAGTGTTTACAGGAAAGATTGAAATTTACGAGATGTGTTAATGAACGGATGCGAATATCAGAATTATTAATTGTTAGTTTGATCGAAGCATATGAGGTATATATATATGCAGTGAAATTTTGAATAAAATTTAAATTTTAAATTAATGAAATATTTGATCTAAATGATAAATGTTTAGGTTGCTACTCAATGTATGGGAACATTTTCAGTGGCCAAATTGAACCAACGTATTAATGGTTTATGTTCAATGATAAGTGATTATTTACGCAATTTCTCAGGTATTTCATAATTATTATTTTATCTTTTCCATTAGAAATACCAAATATTATTATTACTATTATTACTAAAAACAATAATTTTAATTTGTAATCATTTAATTCGTTTCGTTCTTTATTCGAAATTTAAATGATATTATTTCTTATTAACAGATTATGGACAATTTATTAGCAAAATTGAAATTAAAACAAATTTTTATATTGATTATGGGAATTGCTAACAACTAACGCGTGCAAAAGTAAACATTTTAATAGCAAACATAAACTGCATTATTTGCAGTTTGCAAACAATGCTGCTTTTCTGCAACTTTATACTTCTTAAAATTTTCCCATTATAAGGCATATAGTATCATCAGTAACATAGAAATGATTAATGTTAGTAGATTGAAATTGTATTCTTTCATCATCATCATCATCATTACTACAGTACGTTTGAGGAGAAGCGGTACCGATATTGATTTTATCAAATAATTTATCAAACTATGGTTACTGTAATATTGGCACGTTGTAGGTATGGTAACATGCGTTAGTAACAGTAATAGAGTTACGTGAATTTAGAGTTGAACAAAGGATCATTGGTAATCGAGGAAGGAATCGAACTTTTAAGGCTTATCTGTAATGAAGCAAAGGATGAATTTGATGCTACGATACAAAACAAACACAGAAGTGAAGATGATAGGAAAAATGCTAGTTTATTTTCAATCTTAAATTAAAGACAAAAAACGAAATAAAGGATTGCGCCAATCTATTGACAACGAATAAAGGAGTGAACTTGATATTGGTGATAACGAATGAGGACCATTCATGATTTTAGTGATAAAGAAGTATTTCCTTCATTGATAAATGATGATTGATGAGGGAATCGCTTCTAATACGATAAAGTTGCAAAAGTTTCCCCCCCACACTAACTTGTGTTAAATTATAGTAAAAAAATATGAAAATGCTGCAAGATTTAGAATAAGGCAAAAATAAAACTAAGAAATGAACTAAAATAATTATTTCACTTTTGAATTTAGAAATAAATAAATGAAATCGTTACTTTACATTTGAAATTAAGAAAAAAATATTTAAATACAATAGAGAAAATGGGATTGCAATTTAATATTCGAGTTAAAAAAAAAGAATTAAAATCATTATTTAAATATTTGACCAAATCCATTTTGTTGAATCTTTGCTAAAATTATTATTATTTTCTTATACGGCAAATTTAAACACAACAAAAGAATTTGTAAGAGGAATTAAAAGTAAAATTAATTTTTGAAAGAACTAGAACATATTACTAATTTAATTAAAATGATAGCCTCTTCTCCTAGATAATCCCCCTTCCTCCCTTTCCCCCTGTTTTTGCTTTCCTCAAACTGCAAAATTATTTTGCATAATTTCCACATGATTCAATTCCTGTATGGTTTCAAAACGTACCATCAAATATTCTATGAATAAAAAAGAACAAAAATTTTGACAAATTTTAATTAATTTTAACTTCAAAGTAAGTTTCAATATTTCAGCTAATGGCCATAATGAATGAGATCAATCTTGTCTTGCGACATTGCAGTTGGTGTGATGTAAGCTTCATTAACAACGGAGAAATTAAGCAAAGTAATATGACAATAACTGCATGCAATAATTCTAGCCGAACTATCGATCAAAGCAATACATCATTGAACGATTTATCACCATCCGATGATCTCTATCATGATGATATCATTGAGGCACGCTTTTAAGTCTCCATATCGTCTCCTTAACTTGACAATTTTATTATGACGAAAAAAAAGCAAGTGTAAACAAATTGAAATTATTCAAAAAAATAAAAAATAAAAAATAGGAAGAAAATAACAAATGCAATGGGATGATAAAGATGAGTATTGTGATGGCTGATAAATATATAAAGTAAAAGTTTTCCCGAAGTTATTTTTGACTCTGGAAAAAAGAAATTTCTTGTTTTAAATAATGAATGAAATATTTTCTCTCTCAATAAATGGAACAAATTATTTAGGATGTCAACTCATCTAACTTGATCTAATGTTGATGTCAACTCACAACAATCATCTAAATCTTTCAATAAGTTGAAAATTTAATTAAATAAATTTCATAAATTTTAAGCTTAAGGAGAATAAATGAAAACTGCGATAATATCATTGCTGACAAAATCTGAATATTTATGGGTCAATCAAAAATGATATCCTATAATTCGCTTGACATTTCATCTATCAATATGTATAAAGAAATAAATAGCAAATTAAGTAATTCAAAAAAAAAAACTAAGCAAGTAAGCAACGATAGAGCAATAGTTTGAAACGCTAAATGTCTCCAATTAATAGTGTATCTAATTCTGATATCATATTTGATAATACTTTTCAATCCTATCTCCGTCATTCAACATAATCCTATCTGTTTTGTTTACCATTGCAGAAATTTTATTTCTAGTTTTAATTAGTATCACAAAATTTGAATCGATAATAAACTTTCATTAATCTCATAATGCTAATAACAATTGATCTTATTGATAATATCATATAATTATCAAAATTCACTAACGGAAAAGTAAGAAAAAAGCTTTTACAGAAATATTATTACATAGCAGCACCTTATCTCTATTAAAATATCAATTCATCAAACATTTCCATAAGCGTTCAGTACTTTAAGCAACAGATTTATGGATCCATATATGTCATTTCCGAAAAGAGTTCAATATTTACGAGTTTAATTAATGAATTATTTAATCGACCAAAGATCATTAAAGACAAAGATAACGTAGCAGAATTTTGAAATATTTCCATTTGAAAATTTAAGTTTTTAGAATTCCTCGGATAGCCAACATTGATTTATCAGCAACTTACAGTAAATATCTTTATTGATTTCGTATTACTGAAAGAAAAAATGCAAATTTTTTGAAATGCAAAGAGCGACATTGTTTGACAGCTATTCTATGCACCAAAATAAGCGTACAATTGCTATGACGACAAGATTACATTATGCTGAAATATAACAAAATGGGTGGGTGGTTAGATAGGTAAAAGGTAAAGGAGGAGGAAATAGGAGAAAGGAAGTGTTGCAGCAATATTCTATTTTTATCTTTAACTATGATATGCAAATGCGTGAAGTATTTATCACAATTACTAACATTTTGCATTTTGCTTTTCCTATCATCTAGAGTCCATAATAATAATAATAATAATAATAATAACAATAATAATAATAATAATAATAATAATAATAATAATAATAATAAT